TCTTAATTTTTGTTCTAAGATTTATACTCTATCTTTGACTTACAATTTATTTAAAAGACATTGTATGATATCTTCTAGTATTAGAAACTTTAAAAAGTTAAAAATAAATAAATAATGAAAAGGAAAAAAGATATTAAAAAATAATATTATTAAAAATATTTGGGGCTGGGGAGATGGCTCAGTAGGGAGCTGGGGAGATGGCTCAGTAGAATAAGCCCTTGCCTGGCAAGGACAAAGACCTGAGTTCAATCCCCAGTTCCGAAAAAAAAAAATTAAAAAAGCCTCCACTTTGCCATTAGTTTCAATCTTCCCTTGCATAAGAGCTACTTGTGAGAGCAAAGGAATAACAAAATGGGTTGATGTAAATGTAATTTTCTTTGTCTCTCTCATCTATTCCCTGCCAGCAGAGGAGCCAAAGATGCGGACTTTGATCAGAGATCTTAACATCAGCCTATAAATTAGCAAGACTTGGTTCTGGTTCGAAAAAGGGCTGAGAAGCCAGGGAACTTTCTTCACCAACTGAACAAAATGTCAGCTCTTGATAATGCGCCTTGATATTTTAGTCCATTATCCCCTTTTAAGACTTGTAAATTTACATGTAATGGCTGCACCTTTTGCATTCATTTGGCTCTGCAGCTAAGACTGTTCATGGGTCCTGGCCTTACTGGTACCCTTCTTTCATGATAAAATGCCCAAGGTCTGCTATTTCCCCAAGGATTATAGCCAGTCTTAGATGAGCCTTTTTATGTTGGATATTGGGGAAACTAGTACAATATCCCCATTTTAGACTATGAGACAGATGCACTATTGCTTAAATTTTCAAATTGTACTGTCTATTTATGGTGAGGATTTAAATTACTCCTGAGATTCTGTAAACAGTAGAAATCAAGGATGTTTATTTCTATGAATCAGATATGAGTATTTATTTTATTATAACTGCATATCTGTTCCTAATATAGAAGTTTGAAAGGGCTATCCCATAGGTATGAAGACCCTGGGAAGTAGACCTCCAACTCCTGGTTACAGAAGTATATTTATGAATGAAGCAAGCTCAAGGCTCTTCTTGTGTTTTTCCAAATGTTCATAATTGGTGGTGCAGGTAACATAATAGAGAGGATTGTGGTCCATTGCAATAACAACCAGGACTTCCAGGAATGGTTGGAACAGCTGAGCAGGCTGACCAGAGGACCTGCATCTTGCAGTTCATTATCCAAAACATCATCATCATCATGCAGTGCTCATTCCGTAAGTAGACCTTTTTTTTGACCAGGGATTCTTGAGGATTTTGTCAGATCCTGCCTGCTATAGATGCTTACAAGAAGCAGTGAGCACGCCCTTTGTCTCTGGGGTCTGTGTTGGTAGATTTCGAAGTACAGTTAAACCTCACTAATTCTAATTTCTCATGGTGAGGCTCACCTAAAGTAATGAAATGTCACTTAGAAGTATCTGATTTTGTTTGACAGTATTGAGATTCTCCAACTAACTGCTAGCCAACTGTCTCTAACCAGAAGTCCTGCTAAATGTTTTCATGATAAACAAGACTTATTTAGCAGCCATTGTTCTCTTGTTAATAACATGCTATCCAACCATATAGCTTACTTCCCCAAGTATCTAAACATCTCCACGTAACCTCACTCATGCCACCATTTGCTCAGTAACTTCTTCCAATTGTAAACGTGTAGTACTGTCTGCTTCTGAGTTATCGCTGACTTAGAACTCATGGAATCTGAATTGATGAGATTTTACTGTACTTGTTGGATGAAATGGAAGGTGTGCTGTGTTGTCTGTTAACACTCAAACCTGTGGTGCTGAAATCCCTGTTTTGAGTGCTGTGTGTTGTGATAGAATATGGGCTTTGGCATCAGTCTGGTTTCATATCTTGTCTTTGCCAATTACTAGAGAGTTACTTTGCTGAGCTTATGTTGTGGGCTGTTCTCAAGAAATATCCTATTTAAGCGCCTAGTGGAGTACCACACACATTACTAACTTAAGTGTTTCCTATTACTCCACTGTCCTCCCCTAGAAAGGAGAAAAAGTCTGACTTTAATGAAATTGCAGAAGAGAAAAGGAGGGAGAGAAAGAGGGGAAAGAACAAGAGCAGTACCAAGGACTGCTGAATTAATTTTTGTGCTTTTCGTTAATGACACCCTAATCTTGAGTGGGAAGTGTCAGTTCTTAAAGTAGAGGCTCTTGTTTCTCCATCTATCCCTGTCTGTGGTTGGCTTCGCTACTGTTGTTCTCTCATGGTGTGGCACAAGGTCGGGTTCAGGTGGCAGATGGCCAACATATCTCATCAGACATTTTCCCAGTCTTTTAGCTCTACTGGACAGCCCCGAGGACCCTTGGAGCCTCCTCAAATTATAAAACCGTGGAGTTTAAGTTGTCTACGACCTGCACCTCCACTTAGACCATCAGCAGCACTAGGTTATAAAGAGGTAATTTTGCTACATGTGGTATAACATGCTTCTGACAAAGCCAATTGTGTAGCTTTTTGCAAATGGTTCTGTAAAAATGTGCTAGAACTTATGATAGATGACAGTTGTTAGTCAATCTTGAATTCAAATACCCTGCCAGACTCAGGGTATTTTATTTCCTAAATTTCCATTTCTCCTTGTCCATCTACAAATATTCGTGAAATATCCATAGGGTTTATGTACACTACCTGAGTTTCTTGAAGCACCTCTGCTTCATCTCTACAAGATTCTGATGATTCTTAAATTAATTAACTCACACACATCTTAAACCAGAGCCACTTCATTTGGAAATGGATTTCCAACTAAACTGACCCAGTTGTGCATTTTGGAGCATTTTGATCTATTAAACCAAATCAGTACAGTGCTATGGGACCAAGTGCTGAGTCCAAACTGTGAACGTGATGTTTGCTTTAGAAGGAAAGGGAAAAGAAGGTAACAAAAGAAATATCTTCTTAAAGAGAGGCTTTTCAGCAATCACTTTAGAGGACAGCTGATATTTGGGTAGTGTGAGGATTTTGAAGCTGTTGCTTTTCCTTTTAAAGTTGAAGTCAGGAAATGTCAGTCACTATCTTCCAGAACTGGGTAGAATGTTATCTTTTTCATCCAGTGACCTTTCCCCCCTCTAACCTGTTCCTAATGGTTTCAGATTTCAGATGTTAATCAAGTGTTCTTTAAATAAGGTTTTGTTGAGTGAAGAATGAGTTTGTGATAGTTATAAGATGAGCCTTTGAATTATCATGCAAAGGCAGTTTATAATTTTCTATCAAATGTGTGTTTTTGATGAACGATGCAGACTTAGCTCAGTTTTGAATGTGTTTCTATTTAAACCACCATACTTCTGTTTCAACTAATTACGGCCTACAACTCTTAGTGCAGAAAAAAGTAGAACAATATCTGGACATAAGAGGATTTTTTGACTTTTTCAACTTGGCATGATAGGAGATGTAGTGCTTGAGTCGAATCTCTACTGTGTACCTACCTGCATTCAGAATTTGACAAGGAAACTGTCCTAAGATTTGCTTTGAAAATTGATCTGAAGTTCCTTAAATCATCCAGTTTCTTCTTTGACTACCTAAACTAGGAGTGCTATTTCATAGTTACGTAGGTCTCCATTTGGATTAAGGTTATTTTGTAATTGCCAGTTACTGCACTCAAATTAAGGTGAGCTTTGAAGGGTAAAGTTGACTTCATCCTTCACATAACTAATCTATTAAAACTAAGGCATGATCACTTTGTTTCTGCTGGGGGAAGAGAGTTATTAATATATTCTTACTGAAGGGTATATTTCAGTTATTTTCAACATTTGTCGTTCTGCACAGAACTATATTCTTTGGACTTTTGCATGATGATATTGCACTTGAAACTAATGTGGGAAATGTGATGATGTTCTCTCTGTGTAATTTATGATAACACTAACATTTCAAATGTTGTTTTAGAATTATTGATAAATGGATTTGATCATTATAACCATCGACCTCTCACGCTTATCTTCTCTTTCTTTACATATTCATTTTAGAGGATGTCTTATATCTTAAAGGTAAGGGTAGAACAATATCTTTGGCTTACAGTGACATCATAATGTTGTGCTGTAACCTTTGGTGAATGAAGCTTTCCCTCATGCTTGTTTTGTCCTTTGTTATAATTGGTGCCTAAAATATGAAGATGCAATTCTGACATGTAAGTACTTTTTCAAAAAGTAGGCTTAAGTAAGATACATATAAAAATGTCATCTTATCTGTAATGCCTTAAAAGTGCCCGCCTTCCTGTTTCCTAAATGTAGTTTTTGTCCTGTGATCTTTACCGCATGTGAGTTTCTCATGTCTCTTTTCAAGTCTAAGTAAATCACTGTGGCTAAATAAAAAAATTCCTGTTTCATATTTTTTAAGGTAGTAATTATCATCCATGCATCATGGAAGATTAGGGTGAGGTAATCATGAGGGTTTTCCCCCTAAGTGTAAGATTATAATCTATTTACTTGGATATTGACAAGGAACATTTTTTCAACTTCCTGTTTATTCATATGACAAAATAAAATCAGCAATTCCCATTTCTGTTGTCTACTAATCAAATAGGACTTTATACATATATAGTTAAACTCGGCTGCAGATCTGTTACTCCTAACCCCAAAGATATTCCTCAGGAAATCCTTCATTTGGCTCCACTCTCTGACTTTAAGAAAATTATGTAGTCTCTCTTCCTTCATTTTTCCATTTTCATTCCCATAAATGAAAATTGTGTCTTCCTATATTGGACTATTGCCAAGGAAAACTTACTGAAATAAATTTGAAAATCTTAGAAAAGTAATAAATAGTAGTGGCTACAGTTGTTCCTGAATCCCCTTAGAACCGTGTTGGTGAGAAACATTGCTTAGCAAGGAGCACTGTTCTTTCCCTAGGGTTAACATGCTTTACTTTCCCCGCAGATGCTACCCTAAAGGCAGTGGGCCTCCTAGAGAATCTGCTGAATCTTCAGTAGACATACTCTGTTCTTAGTCACATCCGTATGGCACTTAAGGGCAAGCTGTCATTGCCTCTGTTTTATTTAACCTTGGAGAGTTTGTTGGAGCCATATTTTATATGTACACTATTAAATTTGGTGCATTCCCAAGACTGTCAGACTATTTAATTTCATTTGCCCTATTTTAATTTTTACTTGGGAGAGAATTTTAATTTATTAAGAAATCTTTATCCTTGTAGGAGTCCAGTAAAAGCCCCAAAACAATGAAGAAGTTCCTTCATAAAAGAAAGACTGAGAGAAAGCCATCAGAAGAGGAATACGTGATTAGGAAAAGTATGTTTTTTGTGCTTTCTGGAAGTTATTTATGGATTAATTAAAATGAGAATATTTTGAAAGCAGATGATTAGAGCAATTTGTTCTCAGCATCATCTGTTATAAAAATGAATGGAAAGGTTTGGTCACCTCTAAGACTCTTGAGTAAGCTGCCTTCTGCTGTGCTTCCTGTCATCTTAGGCAGGCATCATGAGTGCCATTTTCATGATGCAGAACATTTCACCCCACTACAATGGCCCATTTGCTGTGGACACATTTTTTCCTTAGTTTCTGATGCTTGAGATATTTTTATGTAGAGATAAACTAAATAAACTTGAAGGCTGAAATCCTATGGAAGTCTCATGCTTAGTGACATTCTTAATTAGGCAAGGAGACTAACCTGTTGGTATCTAGACATAGGGCTTTATTTCGAGGCAAATTACAAAGTTAGTCAGCTAATCAATACATACCTAGTTCCACTAAGCCTGTGAACAACGTGCTTGGGACACACATGAAGAAGGAAGTGATATCCCATAAAAGAGGTGGTAGTACTTAACCGTTTAAAATATAATTTAGGTTAGTCTTTCTTAGACTCCATGCTCTGCATGGACCTTCCCCATGCATCAGCCTTTTAACAGGGTGCTGCCATTTGGGTATTTCATAAGTGAGCTGAGGAGGGGAGGTAGGATGAAAGCAACTCAGTGTCTGTGCTGCCTGGGTGAAAAGACGGGTGGTATTAATGGAGAAAGCTTTCTAGAGGAAGACAGCCTTGAAATTTAAAGGAGAGGAAAGCAGTGATATATTGGGTGAGCACTGAAGCCAGCGCCAAGCCCAGGGCTGGGATTTTGGCCTCTAAAAGATGACTAAGAGGAGCTCAGAGTGAGCATAAGGAGCAGGTTTTTCAGTGCTGAGCTCACCGAGGTTGATCCTAGGAGCTCTGCTGGTGGGCTTGCTGCCGCTCTTTCCCACAAGGGCTCCATAGGTTTTCTTCCTGCCTTTCAGAGCTACTACTGCTTGACAAGTCAAGCCTTGCAGTGCAGGGTGCTGCGTCACTGTGAGGGGGCAGAGGCATTTCTCTTGGAGAAATCATTATGAATTAAACTCCACAGGTACAGCTGCTCTGGAGGAGGATGCACAGATTCTTAAGGTGATTGAAGCCTACTGCACCAGCGCCAATTTTCAACAAGGTAATGGCTCAAGTAGGTTCCTGCAAAGTACCCTCTCTCATTTAAAAAAAATGTATTGGTACATGTTTGCACTACATGATGATGATATTCATTGTAGGCAGTTGGCACATGGACATAACACATCTCACTTCTTTTTCTTCTCCTTCTCTCCTTCCCTCTTCCATCATCTCTTGGCCCCTTTCTGAGCTGCAAAAGATCTAGCTCCCTGACTACTTTCTCTAATGCATAATGTCTTCTTGCTTCTCACTGCCTCTGAGAAAAACAAAAAAAGCAGTACAGCTTGGGTTGCAGGGTGTGGAGAGCGGTGACTTGGTGCAGAGGAGTGGTGCAGTACCGCATCTTTCAGATAAGGTGGTTTTTGCTACCACACAGTTTGTTTACCCACTGTTGCTTTTCAGAGAGAGAGAGAGAGAGAGAGAGAGAGAGAGAGAGAGAGAGAGAGAGAGAGAGAGA